TATTTAATAACTTTGCATCCATTTCTACAGTTTTCAATTCGGACGATGAAATATTTTCTCCCGGGGAATTAAAAAAAGGAGGGAAAGAGTGTTTATTAAGGTTAAGGTTGGAAAGCAACGATGGTAAAAATTAAACTGCACACATTGTTCACTACACACAATAGTGTCCAATTATTACTATCAAGTTAAATGGTAATTTTGTTTTGAAACTGTTTCGGGAAATTTGTGAAGTAACATGTAATAACGACATATTCGTCTCAGAAAGGAACGGATCAAAAATTCTTGAGGTAATTAATTCATATTGTTTGGAAACTACACAAATACATAGACCCGGCAAACTGGGCCTATTCTTGTACGCTACGCCAAGTTTGCCCAAGAACAGGGCGACATGATGTCCTATACGCTGCCATGTAACGCACACGAGATTACGCATTGCAGACAGAAGTCTTCAACGCACATGTTGTTTGAGTATAATAGAGGGCTGTTAAAGTAATGCGGGGTTGTGGTGATATTAATCCCTTGCAATTTTTTAGTAAAATGTTGTTTCATAAATTTTGCTTAAAGATAATATAAAAAAATACAAACTTGCACATTTACTCTTGGCGACATATTTTGGACACCAAATAGGATAATGCCCTGTAAGGATGAATTGTCTAACGGGCGCAATAGTCACGGTGAATGGCCCTATACGATAAAAGAAATTGCAACCAAATGGAAATACCACAGCCCCAAAACGCAGGCTGTCATTAAAAAAATTCTCATTGATAGATTGTGGGAAAGCTTTGAACAAGCGTGTGTACAACCTAGCGTTTAATGGTGTTGTTAAACCTTTACTAGTGCCTTCAGCGGAGTGGAGCCTGTCAGACACTGGTGTGAAGTTCTTCAGTTTTATTACCCGGCCCCCGGTGTATTGACCAGGAAAACTGCACGTTAAGACTTCTCTTTTGCCCATTTTTTAACAGTCTGCCAGCAAAAGTAATACAAGGGATGTTTTTATTATAGAGGCTAGATTGTATTTATTCGGCCATTCAGAGCATACTGGTAGGACAATATTCAACAAACATAAAAATCACTGGACTAAACAAAAGGACATTACAAATACATGTAACAAGTACAACCCACTCCAAGCTGGCAAGGATTGACAACAGTATACTTGACCATGACCCGAAAGCCTGTCAATCCAAATTTGAGGTGTTATTTGCAGATTAATAAACACAAACGATCCGACAGCTAGCCTTGAGTCATTTCTGTGCATTTTACATAAGTACATCTTTTGCCATACGCACGTACTAATCAAATAGCTTGCATCTTGATTTACACGGTCCGTTTGGGAATTTGTGTGTAAGAGTTTTTACACACAATCATAAATTTATGATTTTTAACATTTGTATATAATCTATACTTGTTCAGTGCATTCATGGGGATGAAATCTATAACGCGTAATGCCAGGTTATAACTACATGTATGTCGTACTGCTTAAACAGTATTTTGATGAACCCAGTATAGTGGCGATTTCAAGTCTGAATATTACTTTTCCGCCACGGTATTTTCACGAAACTGCGTTGAAATTACTTAGATGGCTTTCTACGTCTTTCTCTAATGGTTTGAATGAGACGTTGATGGACGGCCCATCACCTGCTGAACACTCTCTGGAAGACGTAGGGGAACGTGGGCTTGCTTGGTCTTTCTCTAAAATGAAAACTTACCCAAGATGAGAAATGGTGCTGAGCCGACGACATTAATGTACGGTATGCCGATGTAGCTCATCAACCCGAAAGATGACAGCACGGCCAGGCCGGCGGAGATTACGCCGCAGCCGGCCAGCCACGGCTTGCTTCGCACCCAGTCCAGCATCACGCAGGACGAGATGCTGAACGTGATCACGACAGTGAAGGTGATAGTGAAATCCTTGATCACACTGGAGCTAGCTCTGTCGAGCTCGGTTTCCAGTGTGGAAGACACCTCCCGAGTGACGCTGACAACGGATGAAGTGAAAGCCTCCGCGACTTCTAAGAACTTTTCTTCCCACAAGGCGCTTCGCTGATCCTCTACGTCGTCTTGGTAACGTAAGAAGTAGGACAACCGGACAGCGTTGGCTGAAACTACCTCATCTTGAGAACCCGATTTGAATGTCACGCCTCCTAATCCTCCACCAAGAAAATAAGGTACAGTGTCACCGACTAGTGTATAGAGGGGAAAGGTTAGAGGAGTCAACGGCACATTAGAGGCGTTGTAATCATATAAGGCTAGTATGAGGTTCTCGTTACAAGTACCGTCCCATTTTATGCAGAGATTAGTGAATTTATATTCTTGGTTGTCGTGTTGGATGGTAATGTTCATGATCTGCTCGTGTAGATTGATGATGTCCTCCATGGCAGCTTGTGTCAGGATATTCTGGCCATCTTTCTGCCGTATAATCACACTCCCTTCCCGAGGCAGTCTCGACAGATGTGATACTAATGTCTCGTTGTCACCGTGTTCGGCGAACAGTGTTTCCACCGTGTTCCTGTCCGTCTTTGCCTGCCCATTTTCCGGAGTGTACAGGTTCTCTATGCTGTTTTCCTCCGTCAGGAACACCATTCCGGCACCTAGTGCTCCGGCCAACAGCAGTGGAAGAACAAGAAAGGGATACGGGTGTCTCGCTATGAAACCACCGTAATTGAAGAAGAACAATTTGACGATTTTCTCGACGCAATCAAACGCCATGTTTATTCAGCACATCAAGGTACTGGTACGATGTTACCGTAAACGTTTAATTGCTGTTCGTGTGTTGTGGTGCTAAGCCCGCTTCCCACAATAGATGACAATCACAGATGTTCATGTGCAACAATCTCAACAAAATTTGCTTAAACATGAAATTGTACCTGCAATCTTTATTACACACTACTGAGAAAATTTTTCACTAGCACGACTTCACCATTCCTAAGCGCAGACCAGTTGTGAACACACAGAGCTGTAAACAGTGAGGTCATCCGTTCAGCCTTCATGTCGTTTCGTCTGTGTTGTGCTAGAACAGTTGTCATGCGCAGTAGGAAATATCAACTGTGACGCAGTACTCTAGTTGGCATGCACTACGGGAAACAAACACTTTCCACTCCCGGTTCATTCTGACTGCTGATTATGGGTGTATGCAAATTAATGTTTACTCCCGGTTTTACGATCTTTCTCAAAAGTTAAACTTTACTAAAAACTCCCAAATGTTTTACAAATTGATGTTTTTATTAAAATATTTTGAGTGTTTCCCATTCCTGAACAAAAAAGTTCAGGAATGGGAAACTATTTATTCACTTAGATTTTATTTAATTTCCTTTGAGTTAATAAATTCAAGTTTCCATTAAATTAGCGTTTTTACAACGTGTGTAATTCACAACTAATCATCGCATAGTATTTTCGGTCTCGTTCGTTACAGTGAGTATTTCTGAAATAATGAGTTTCCAAATAAAGCAATCTGTTTAGATTCTGTTTCTTCGAGTTGTTATCCAGGTTGGTTTAAACACACTACAATTTCGCTTGTTTTTAGATTTGTCTCAGATTTTTTCTTGTTAATACATGTATGTACCGGTATCCATTTACTAAGAGCACCTCGTGTTATCCGTACAATGTCAGCTCATGTTTGATAGGGTCGTGATCTAAAGTCTTTTTTCCGTCTTACTACCAAGCAGTGAAACCTCTGCCTGTAATGCTTCTCTGCGTGTAATGCTTCTCATTGTTTAAACCTTGTGTCAGTTGCCATTTATACCAGAATTTAGTGAAATACCATGAAATAGTTTGATACATTACCAGTCGTTTAACACGTTACAGGGCAATGCTGTATGCATGCTGACTAAAATATTTTGGGTCCCATAAGCACTGACACCATATAGTGGGTAGACCAGGGCCAGTTCCCTCATTGTTTCCTCATTTTATGTGTTTCTCTTTACGCCAGACCGAGCTGCATTTAAATAAAATGTGTCCAGGACACAGTCGCAGGAGAATTTTTCTCAGGCTGACACAAGTAAACTCTCCTATTGTTCGCGGTTTTTCAATCGCAAAAACAATGGGTCGTATGAATAAAAAGCACCGCACCGACCGCACAGTTGATGTTTGGCGGTTTGCTCTTGAGTGTTTTGTCCCCTCCTGACGACGCCCATGTAAAAACAAGACGATCTGTTTTAGTACGCTAGAGAAAGAATATCTAGTGTCATGACCATGGGCGTAAATTCTGGAGGATGGGTGTATATCATAAACATGCCTTTCAGATGAATTATTATTGACATCACCTCCCTAGATAGTGTAAAGGAACCAGGAAATGAATTTTTCTTAGAATCTTTTGTGTATCTCTGTAATCTTTTGTGTATCTCTTCTATGAAGACTGTTTGACGTATTTTTCGAGTTATGTGAACTGAACGTTTCACTATTCGAAAAATTAAAAATTGACCAGTCATTTCTGGACAAGTGAGGGCGCTTTTGCTTTGATGTAAATCCAGGAAAACATGGTTCAGGTAGCATGTTTTTATGTTCAAATTGTGAACCCCAAATTTGCTATCTGGGAACATTTATGTGATAAGGATTTTTGCTGGATTATTGCCATATACTTATATACACTATATACTATATATTGCCATATACACAGCAATAAATTGCCAAAGAAAATAAAACCTGCCATGGCAGTGGTTAAAATAATCTAGACATTTTCTGTGCACAAATCAGTACAACATTGAGATTCAGCGCCTTGGATGGCATCATAGTTCTGGTCATGAATATGCAAATTGCGTTAGCATAAAACCAAAAAAGGATCAAAATCTGGGTTGAAATTGCAAAACAAAAATTTCAAATGCAGTTAATTGAAACCCAAATAATGCAGTTTCAGGTTGGGGTGTGGTGTGAGCCGCAGTTGCAGTAAAGTCAGACATTTCTCAAAATTGTTTTCTTCCTCTTCTTATTGTTCCCCTCCCTCCCTCGTTATTCTCTACATGTTTTTCTCTAGCCTACTACAGGTACATTCGAAGTGTTTTCATCAAAGCTACACCAAAGAAAGACCTTCATCAAAGTTCACCCAAAAAGGCCATGCAAAGATGTTTCTTGAAACAAGATGCCATGATGACGTCAACAGAAGTCACATGACATACCCTCAGAATTGAATTTTTTGCAGCCGAGTATGTGCATTTTCAGAGTGACTTATATAACGCTGTCATTCTTCGACGTTAACGCCACTTCCGTGTTCTGTGCATTGAGGACTTTTGCTTCCAACAACCAGCTTGTGGGCTTTGTGCGCCGTATACGTACGTTCGGCTGGGTACAGTGCACATGCCTAGCTTTGGGCCTTCGTGCTGGCGGGTACAGAGTTTGGCACGAGTGTCCTGTCGGGTCTGCCACATGTGGTTGGACGCTACAAAAGAACCAATAATGGGTTTCTATTTTACGGAAGCTGGATAGTGCCAGGGTGATTATTTCTTGCATAGGGGGTGCAATACGGCCGCCACATAATTATGAGACGGCCGCCAGATAAGTATGTGGCGGCCACGGCCGCCACATAATTTGTCAAAAAGTATTACACCCCCTACGAAATATTAATCACCCTGACACTATCCGACTTCCGTACTATTTGGCTTCGGTAACGCGTCTCTCTGAGTGTAATGATTGTGTCAGTAAGCTGAACGTTATTCGTCCATGTGTTTAAATCCTGTTCAATATCTTTAGATTGGCCACAACGCAAGAGCAGGCCGAGTTACTGAACACACACGCACAAGCATATGTATATATGCGATATTACGTGGCAACGTGCGTGCATGTTCCAGAAATTACAAAAACTGCTGCTTGCCGACAGTAACCTGAAATACAAATTACAAAAGTGGGAGAGTCTTACGTTTCAAATCTTTCAACAAATCTTTCTCAAAGGCAAACGATAAATGGACGGAGACATACACGCAAGCAAGAAGAACTGGATTAATAGAGATATCTATATTCCTGATAGAACAACGCCCTCGGTTGTCCACGAAAGCAGGGAAAAGTTCAAGTGTTAGAAATGCACCTTTTAAAGCATTTAACCAAATAGGAACATAAAAGAGTTTTCATGAATTGAAGAGGAGTACAAAGTTGCAGAAAAGTAGGGTTTGAAAAAATTTCATTGTGGCTAACCTTTAGGTTTATCGTGCAGGCTTGCGGACCAAAAGGGCTAGGTTTAATTCCAATCCATCCGGCCCTTTGCATTTCTCATCTTTTTGCCAACTCAAACGGGGATAAAGTTCTTGGTCCTAGTACCAGTACGTTTTGTTCAATCTTTTTTTTATTTGAAAAGAAAATGCGAAAAGGAAAAACATTTGTTTTTTAATCAGAGTAGGAAAACGTAAAATCGAGACGAGTCATTTCTCGTTTGTCAATTTAGAAATGAAAAATGTGGAAAAAAGAAAAGAAATTAGTTTTTCGTTTTAATTCTTGAAACAAGAAGAAATTGCTTCTGAATTTTGTTTTAATCAGAATTTGGCTTTACATGACACGCAGGCTGCTGGTTCCCTATCTCAAATAGAGCATTCAGTAAAGTAAAGGAAGGGCAGCATACTACTCGTCTGTTGTCTTTTAATATTCAGTGTAATAAAGTTGTGTAAAACCTGGGATCATTAAGCATAAAAAATTGAGGAACTGTTTCAGAATTGCCATGCATGTCAAAATAAGATGATACAGGTGCAGTGAAAATTTAGCGGTTATGCCACATTGCAGATTAAAGGGTCATTGTTAGTTTTAAAAGGAAATGTGCGCGATCAAGACTTGTTTATCAGAAAAACACATACAAGCGCAATTACAACAATGTTGCGGTTCATGCCATTTTGCAGTCAAGTCATGGCCATTTGTAAGCTATTTATAACGGTGAGTATGAGCACGATTGAGCCGTTTCCCGAAAAGTAATGGGGATTTCCGAATACCTCCCGACAGAATTTTTTTCTTTTAAACGTCATGCACTGTATTTATTTCACCTTTCAAAGTTTTTTGTCTATCGCCTATACACCAGGGTTGCCATTGTCTGTTTCTGTATTACCCCATTTTCAATTGGCTGAATCAACAAAGGTGACGTGAGTTTGCAAAAAACGCAAAACCTTTATAGGATGTTTCTGGATTCACCCCTGATGAGGTGCCCCTGATGTTTTGTGAATTTCTTCACATTTTAATCGCAAAATATTCTTAGACAAACTGCAGAGTGAGCCCACAAGACAATTTATACTTCATTCCAAGCCATTTATTGCCACATATACAGACAGCGTGAACGACGTGGACACTGACTCTAGAGGTTAAATTTGTTAACTTCTGGCCAGAGCAGTTCATTGCCGAGTCAGACTAAAATATTTGTTGCTTTCTTGTCGTTGTCACCCTGTGGAATAACATAACATGGTATCTCCAAATCGTTTTTGATCTGACATGAATGATGATAAACTGGGGGGGCGTTGTTTGGGGGTCCCAGGCCGAGCGCCCCTGGAGAAACTTGAAAAGGTTGCCTTAACACAGCCCTCTTTTGTCCCATCCAAAGCTGCCCTAAAGAAACTGGCTTAGCTGGGAAGCAAAATGCACAAACGAGTCACCGACAACCCGCACAAGAGGCCAGTGGTCTGCTGGCGTGGGAAAGGAAAAATGCTAAAAAGAAAAGTAGCATATGATACTGCACTTCAATCCAACATTTCGTGAATTATGCTCCTACAAGGTTGTGTGGATATATCGGCGGTTAACGCCCGAAAGCGAAAGGAGTTCGAAGCTCACAAACTGCAGGCGCGCTTTACAACAGCTGTGAATTGAAAACGGGTCTCAGGATTCCATGTAAATGAAACAGAAAGTGGATGGACTAGCGTATGCGTTACTAAAAATGGACAAGCCGAACTTTCTTGAGAAACGACTGGTATTGCAATAGTGCAACCCTGACCACATTAGTCAGTTTCTCAATATATTTTTGTTGATTTCATTTTTTGTAATGAAACCAACAGAAGAAAACCACCATTTATAGAATTAAATCATAGAAAATATAACAAAATTATAATTAGAAATAAAAAAGAGATATTAGTCAATTTGAAATATATCTACATAGTTTTAACACATCAAAACCACCAAAAATCAGTCAGTTGCAGAGGATAAAAGACACCTGTAAATGTACCCTGTAAACGGAAGCAATTTGGTTAGGAAGCACCATTATAGCGAACATGAAGTTCAACCATGTCACGACTGGCAATATTCCGAAGTGTGACGTCGGAACGCCGTAAAGGGAACTCCCATTCCGGGATGGGCGCAGTGATTTCATCCACATGCAAGAAACCATATACGACGCAATGCTGGAGGGGGCGAGCCCACTGACAGACAGAAAGACAGTAAAGTTAATAATCTGCGATGACCATGGGCGCGATGAATAGTTGCCGAATACGAACCAACTGAAATTGGGAAAGAGCATCAGCAATACTGTTATCGATGCTAGGGGCATGCAAAGCCTTAAACATTTTGGATGTTCTGCCTGAAACACTGTAAAACAAACGTGAACCAATTTCATGATTCAAGAGCAACGGGATGTTTGGTGATTGTTTCTAGATACGACGGCCTCACCATCACACCAAAATATTACTCACTTATCCAGGAGATTGCAACCCCATAATAGTAACGTTAGCAGGATGGGAAAAATCCCAGAAAGGATGTAGTGGACAGTCAGAGGGAGCGAATTTGCTCAGGCCATTTTCATTAAACCTAACTGCCGTTTAAAAAATGCACCATTACTAATTACTGTTGCAGAAGCGTGTGTATTCAAGTGCATCTTATTGCTTCAGTGCAAAACTTCATGGGCCACGCTAAAATATCGGCCCCGTGTACCCGAGGAAATACGAACACGTTAATGCGGTCGCTAGTCAGATCAAATAAACGACGAAACGACCAGACAGCTAGCTGCCTCACAAACGAAACTCAGTCTCCCCTGAACGTAATGCAAGTCGTCAGTCTTTCAGTCTCAGTTGTCATGAGCTAGGGAAACACTGAGTCCTAAGTTACACACTACCCCCAAATGAAATAAGGCCTCGTGCACACTCTAACAATTGGGATGACCGGCAAATAAGAAGTCATCCTTATAATGGTCTGAGCTCAGTACTGGAAGAAAACGTTCGAGCGTCACACAAGATATGGAACTGCCCATACACTTATCGTACAATAGAAATCCCCTTTAACAGAAAAGAAAAACACATCAAAGTAATTTGGGTGAACAGGGAGTAAACGGAAATGCTAATTTTTTTATATCACATTTTGGTCAACAAGGCCCCTGTATCCAACTTATAAACCAGTGCAACTATATCGTCGAAACTCGTGTAAAAACCGCTTTATTGACTGGGTCAACGTTATCATTG